CTGGAGAGGTCGGCACTGCTGTTTGCGCTGCTGTTGGGGCTATCTGTGAACGCAGGACCACGTGTATCTGTAGGACACGCTGCTGCTCTCGTTGAAGCCATAGATGCAAATGACGTGACAGCAAAAGCTGCCGAAGTAGTTCCCCAAAGACCGTCAATGCTCGTTGCAGGCAGCCTGAAAGAATGTGCACGTTGCAGGTTTCTCGGCGATGCCCGTATCTGTCTTGTGTTTCTCGAAGACAATGTTGTTAAGCAGTGCCTTCCGCTACAGTATTCATTAAAGCTTCCATATATTCCACGCGTGGATACGCGCACCTTAGAAGGCCTTCGGCAAATCTCTGGGGCCTCCCTAGAGCCCTTAAAGGGTTCTGTATACGGCGTTGAGGGCACCCAACAAAGCTCAGGTTTCTTTTTGCAACCCTCACAAGCTACAGCAAGGGCCACTCCACAGACGCCGATGATCCGTCCATGCAACCCCAGGGACGTCGTGGGTTTCTTCAAAGCTTCCATGGTTCTTGGCTCAATGGCCAATAGTAGCCTTTTAGGCAAAGAAAACACCCCATTCGTTGTATGTAACTGCGGCAGCATCGACCTGCAGGGCCCGAGAAAGCCGTTGCAGGCACAACGAAGACTCAATTCCTCTTTCCATGCACAGTCAGGCACACAAAAGTTCTTGCACATGTCACTCCTGGACGATGCTGTAGCAGCGCAGTCAACTGCTTCCGCAGTATATAGGGCAAACACGCCGATGTTAGCACCAGCAAGTGCTGTAAAAGTTCTACAGCCTGCTTGTATTGTTGCTGGTACAGCTACCTGCGCTCAGCAACAGCAGTAACTCTGCGAGAGGCCACCGCAACAAGCCCTTTGACCGAGCAGTAGCAAACGAGCACTCCTTCCTCGCGAGCATCTAAGTTCTGATATTCCGGAAGGCCAGGGTCTTCTTTCATCGTCCTGGTCAGAAGCGGTAGTAGTAACATCAAGCGGCGTCTATTCGTGTGAATGAAACAAGCCCAAGTCAGCCATGCCAAGTTGAGTTGCACAGTCACCGGTAACACCGCCTTCAACCGTTCGTGGCGAATGAACCGTTCCGTCCAATGACGTCGCGTTTATAGCAGGATATTTGAAGCATCGGAATACAGCTGGACAAAAAGAAGCCTTTTTGGTTACGTGCGTGAAACTGTAAGTAGACATAACCAATTACAGTGTACTTCCTTGCTTGGAGCGGCAACAAGCCCTTTCTCGAATGCATGCGCCAAGACTCACGCAGTGAGACTCACCCAGCCAGTCCTGCAGGCCACGGCCAAATGCAAAAAAGAAAGCGGACAGCTGTGCTCCTTCTCAGGGCTACGCAGTTTCGCGTACTATCCCGGTTGATGCTGATACCGGGCAAGGATGCAGCTGGCGGTGCCTCCAAGCAGAGATGACTGCTGGCGCCCGTTCGGTCTTCTGCGCATCGCGGCACCGGCATGCGGAATCAAAAAGCCTCAGTTACTTTATCTGTTTCATGCTTGTGACCAAGCCGCGACGCAATTTTGCATTTGCACTGGTTCGCGCCACACCAGGTATCTGAGGTACCACCAGCGCGCTAAGCATGCTAGCAAATTGGAGCTAAGCACAAAGCTGACGGCGCAATCGAGACGAAAAGCCTCATAAAATATTTTTGGTGATACAAGACTGGTGGTGTTGTATGGTAGCGCGTCCACTAATGCTGGGGATCAGGCAGGTCACGACCTGAATCCTGAAGAGCTTCAGGGAGCTGTCGCCCATTAGACCGAAAGCGCTGAACACAACTAAATGTAACACAGGCTGTACTTGTGGAAAAGTGAGCGGATTGGAGAATATAAAATTATCGAATCTGGCCACTGGTAAGGCCGCCGCATTTGACCGATCTCGAGGTAAGTGATCCTGGCGCATCCACGCTAGCCTCCGCTAGCGACTTTTGTATATAATTAATGAGCCCGAGTTTCTGCACAGTATCTTGTTGTTAGACATCAACTTTTGCACTATACCTACTGCAAGTCACCGCAGTTTCTGGATCCGGGCGAATTGTTACAGAAGAAACTAGAAAACGAACTAGGTACAGAGGGCCTCGCACGAAGCAGCACAAGGAGACTAGTGCAATGCTCTGAATTTTGTTTCTGAGTGGGTAGTACGGATTTATACAATTCGATATCCCTTAGCAGCTGCGGCACAGTGATGGCACGCGAGGTCGCTTCTCTTAACGCGGGCGCATGTCTTAGCACAGGAGAAGCGAGTTACCGCCGCTTAAAACTGAGAAGGATCGATTTTCGTAAAGCCACGCGGAACATGGCGTGGCTGTGGCAGCGGTATGCTTGCATCTGGCTAGAAAATAACCCCTCTGAGCTGAGCTATGCAATGACCCAGTCAGCGAACGAACAAGCCACGCTGCTTGCGCAAACGGCATTGAGACCCCGATAGGGCCATTATACGCCAGTCATAGGTGCTCAACATAGGACGAGTGCACTCATGTCCTTGCGGGATCTGCACGTTGATATGGCTAGACGGATAGACTTGCTGGGCTCGGATGACGGTTGCGCCTACTGAGTGAGTTTTCTGTAGAATAAACAAGGTATTCATCTCTGCAAAGTGCTGACCGGACCGCTTGCCTAGAAAGGCGACGAGTTGCTTATGGGTACTCCAGATTCCGCGGCATACGAATTCTGGAGTCCAAAGGAGCCCAGAAAAGCCCTCGCAGCGCGGTCAGATGCACGTCGCCTATGCACATCGAACCGTTTTAGGGGACCCGAACACGACGCATCCTAGCCCTTGGAGATCCCCACGAGGAATTTGACGTCGATGACTCTTGCGGAAGCTGTCCGCGAAGAATTTATGGGACTGCTTAAGGTGCACCAGAGGCATAGGGGCACGGATACTCGGAACTCACAGCAAGAGCCGCCCTCTAGGCAAGAGTATTTGCGTCGGCTTCCTGAGGAACGTGTGTTTGTTAACGCTCGAGTCGTTAAAGTCCCGCTGGCCCTTGAAAATTACGAGGACAATCCGCTTCTACAATGTGAGTCAAGTGATTCGTGAGAGGCAGTCAGTAAGAAATCTACTGGAGGCGCGAAGCTGGGTGTGGGTGTTCAAAACGCCGTTTAGGATAATTTACCCACTAGAATAACCCATTATACTGGATATCAATTATGTTATAAACCTTTTACCAAAATAGATGTGAAATGCCAAATTTTCTTCTCTTTGGCCTAGGCGTAATTAGTCGAAAGTAGAGTAACATGGAAAGTTCGGAAGCAGGAATTTTATAGAAGAACGGCTTCACCTCAAAAGTGTGAGAAAAGTGGGTAGCTCATCGAACAAATGAAGTGCACGATGCGACATGTGGAGGACGAAAGACCATATTTCGAATATGTGAACACCCACATTCGAAAGATGTAAAAGGCAAGATGTAAGTGTCACCTGGGAGAAGCGATACCTCAATTTTACTAGCTAAAAGGTGCAAGATAAAGTGCAGCACTTGAAGGAGACAAGAAAATTGCAGAAGAAAGGAAGTTAATACCAGTTACGCAGGTGTACATCTCAAGGGGAAAGCAAAAGAGGCCAGTAGACTTCGGGACAGCATTTCAAGGAGGCGAAGGTGGGAACGATCCAGCAACTGGAAAGATGCAAGACGCTACGGAATGAGTGTGAAGTGCAGCTTCTGAATGAAGTTAAGCGTAGCATGCCAAAGTTGTAAAAAGCCAAAAGTGGAAAGTTAAAGTAAAGTTCATTTCCTTGCACCCAATTGTGGATTTTCCTAAAAAAAAATCAAGCGGGCACATTAGTTTTAGTAATCGCTGACGTTCTTAAGACGATACAGTTGTTAGGGACTTTCCCCTTTGATACAAACTGTCCAAAGATTCGCAACTGCCCTGAAAAGAGCAATATTTGAGAGGCTACATAAAGATGTTGTGTGCACCTTTGCGTATGTCTATATCCTAATTTCGATAGCTAGGCGCGGAAAAAGATTAGACCTATGATGTTGCCTCTATTGAAGGCACGCGTTTATGTTTTTCAAGCGAGTTTCGGACGGGCGTTCAACCGCTCAAACATTGCTCCTTCTCACGCTCGGAAAAATATTTGCGAGGAAATTAAGCTTTCCCTCTTGAACAGCTCAGTAGATTGATACTGCAGTTGTAGGTAAATGCCTAGAGAAGTTAGAGCTGTGCTCCAGCGCAGTTGCACAGGCTCTCCCGTTCGCCAATGCCTTTTTCATCACTCGCTGCCGACGGCGCCACTGCACACACACGGCTTAGCCATCAGCACCCTGACCATTTAACCCATTGTAAGCGCCGTTACAGTTGAAAAATAATTCTGGGACTGCCTTTCGTGGGGAGGTAGTGGATAAGGTTTGAGCTTTCGCTAAACTATCGCAACGTCCTGCAGATAAGGAGACAATGCTTCAGATATCCCACTGCAATCAATGACGCATTAGAATTTCCAGCAAAAAGTTTTCTAACTAGACACCCTAAATAACTGCAGTCTCCAGCATTTAAGCGCTTTCACATCTTTATTCGAAAGAAATGACGACTTCAGCACTGCTGTTTTTCCAGTATGGAGGAGCGTTGTCTGTTCAGTGTCTTGAACAAGCGAATTTCTCCATCTTATGCCACGTTTCGGCAGAAATAAGAATCACACAAATTAAAAAAAATATTTTAAATTAGACTGTTCGGAATAATTGCCTGTGGAAATCATGTAACGCCGAATCGACGTTGAGCGAAGCCGAAAAGGGCTTGGGACGAGGCCATCAATCCGCCCATTTCTGAAATTCGGCAAAATTGAACCAATTATGCCAAAGGCCAACAAAAAGCGCATTGCATTGCTCCTATTGGTGACTTTTCTCCCTATACTTCCCGATAGGCCTTAAAGAACTCTGTCGTTCTTGAATACGCAAGGAAATCCGTTCTACGGCCTCGCCAAGCGCAATAGGGGTGGAATTGTGCCAAGTTTCACCTTTTTCGGCTCATTTTTGTCCATTAACTTATCGTAAAAATGGTCCTTCGCTGGATGGGACCTCTGTTGGGTTTCTTGGTGGTAGGAACCATTGGGAGTGATGGACCACTCCGGCTCTTTGATGCTGCTGGGCTCGAGTCAAGCCCGCTTCCTTCTGAAGCAATTGACTCGCCCTCTGAGCCAGTATTTGGACCACGTCTAAGTCCGGTCTTCTCTGGTGGGACTCTGGGGGAACTGCCACCGCGGAGACATGCAGCGATCGTACTTTTCACTGCGCTTGCAATGGCTTTCGCGGTGCTGAGATGCTTCAGAGCTATAACAACAGGAAAGGCCTCGAATGCAACGAAAAGAAAACTCTCCGACGAAGTATCATCACCCGAAAGCGAATGTGACGTCCGTAACGACCCCGATACCGTACATCGGGCAATGCAGAGAACACACGCATCAACTTTGTTGAACTTAAAAGACCGACAAAATTCCCAATCTAGAAAAAAATGGCTCCATTATGTGCGAGTGCAATTTTTCGGACTTTCAAGGGCTGGCCAGCATTTGCCTTATGCTATGGCCACTTTACTGCCCGTTCTGGTTCGTGCCTGTCTCATTGTCTGCGTTTACATACACATAAATATATGCAGCGCTCACTAATGACAATTTTGTTCTGGCAGATGACTTGAAAGAAGTTTGCCAATGAGCATGTTTTTCGGTCTCCAAACAAAGCGCACTAGTTGTGTGACTGGCTTCAAGAGCGAGATCAATGGAGCGCGCAAGCTGTACAACAGGCTGCCCCTTTTCTTCACCCAGAGCAAACTTTTGCTGGTACTTCGAAGCCTATGGCCCTTCTGAATTCGGTAGAGTTTCGCCACCGTTCCCCTTTTCGCGCCAGCAATTTTAGTGTGTCAGCCTCTTTACTTCTGCTGAAGCAACGGGCCTTCACGAAAGGAATAGGCTTATTTGTTGCGAGAAACTTTCTTCGTCGAGTCCATTGCTTCTTCAGTCTCAGTAAATAGACTGAATGCAGTAAGCAACAGCTGCCAAGCAAGCGAGGTGCGGCGACATCGAATAAGGCTGGACCAAACCGGCCACTATGCCTTTTTCTTTATTTATCAGCAATTTGGGACATCATCATACAGCACGCTTCTGCTAGTGTCCTCACTGGGCTAAAGCCTGTGAATCACGAAATGCAAGGCGCCATAACCTGGTGGTTTTCGCGGCACAACGAAACTGAGTCAGAAATGTGACAATGAGAGGGTTCAAAGGCAAGAGCTTTTTGGTAGGAGCTGACTGGTGCTGAAACATCGCGTTACACAGACGGTACGTTGGGGACACTATGATCAGTGCACTTCATGATCTACGAGCAGAGATTTGCTTGGAGCTATGATCTGCACTGGGCATCAATTGCGGCAATGAATGAGACACTACCTTGCACCTGAAATACGCACTGTACACACCATAATGCCATAATTCCAACCAAGCATTTCTCGCAACGAGAGCATGCGTGTCCGGTTTTAAAATTTATTTAGCTAATGAGCAAGTCGAAAAGAAGGAAAAACTTTATTTTACGTCCTGCGCAGGTGCTGAGCAATAGCCATTGTGGAAATTATGCTGGCCAATTCATTAAGTACGTGGCTGTGAGCTTAAGAACTTCAGCCGATCGTCTGCGAACTGATATCGTGGGCAAAAATTATGGACCTATACGGAGAAATCATTGTTGAGTCATGTGTTTAATTGCCCTCTATGGCCTCACTTTTAGTGTGAGTGGTTTAACACATATGCGCCGAAGTGCCAGTGGCTCCGAATTAGAGCAGAGATCTATCTGTCGGTGACTGCGCTTCCGAAAGCACGGGAGAGACGGAGGCCATTTTGCTTTTACATCGAAAAAGCATTTCAAGGAGGCGCCTGTGCTGCTTCCACTTACGGGAAATGACCGTTTGCTTTTCCCTCATCTCAGCTTTTCTCACCTATCAAATCCGCTCCACCAGTAAGGCCAGTGCACTTCGCTGCGTGAAAGTTTGGAAGTAATGCGTTTGAAAACTTATTGCCATGATAAGGCCAGGATGCTGTTTGAGGGGAGACAGAGTCGTAATCTGCACGTGTGCAGGCGATGAACAGAGCTTGTGGCAAACTGCGATGAAGGTTGCATGCTTGCCGTCTTTTGACGATTTGCAGCACTTGTGGAGAGTTATGCAGCAGCTCGCGCTCAGAGCATTTCTGCCTTACTTTGGACTGCGGCGATGAGTGTAGACAAGCCCCAATGGAGTGAATGTCGCATGGGATAGGCACGTCTTCTCAGTCTTCACGAAAGTGACAGTTGAGCCACATGAAAAGGAAATGCTCCACAGCCATCATTAGGGGGATTTGTGTATGAAAGAAGTATTCGCTGAGTGGTTACAGACGGTCGATGAATGCATTTAGTGGCGAGTGTTTAGGTAGATGCGCCCTTGCATTTGAAACGCGTGTAGCTTCACACTTAGTGTGTCGCTATCCCAACCTTGCAGTAGTGTCATATCGCTCAATTGTGAAGCACCTGGCCAAGCCATTATCGACATCTTCATTTTGGTATGACGATTTAGAGAGTGAGCCGCGAGATATGAGTGGCACGGCTTCAGACCGCATTCTGCACTCCAGATTAGGCGCAACTGCGGTGCAATTTGCAGTATACATACGATGCAGAAGGGTGTTTGTTGCTGCTTGTGGCAAGGGAACAAGCTTTAATTTACTAGGGTGGACTTGTGAATGGATGGCAGAGCGAAGTGATGGAATAATTCAACATTGCTCTTACGAAGAGTTACAGCACCAGATGAACTTCACTCGAATTGCCGCATAACTCCTTTTCAATGTATGGAGAGGATTCTGTTATGGCGCCCACTCCTCTCGGCAAAACCATTTGGGTTTCTTGTCGTTAAGATAGCTTCTGCTTACTAGCCTTTCCAATGTGTCGGTGAACGTGTTTTAACAATACAACGCACTGCCTGTTGTTGTTCCAGCTTGGCAGTAAAATGTATGCAACATGCTGGGCTGCAGGGAACCAATCTGCTTAGTCTTGGCTATATATTATTATTAGCGTAGCCATTGTACATGTTCCAGAAATTTTGCTTGGTGATTTACCTGCTTGAAGCTCGTTTAAAACGATTTTCAGTGTAACTTTTTCGAAGTCCTGGATGCAGCACTAGCCAACATTTGATAAACGCACTGCTCAAACCTGTGCGCACAAATCTAGTCAACGTTAGGTTTGGAAAGGACCAACTGAGATGCAGTAGTGTGATGCGACGCAACTTCGACGACTGTAACGCCTAGCGTGGTCTGCGAGCGTCAGAGCCGCAGGCTTGTCGGTGAGCAGATCAACCGCTACAAAAATATTTTTCCGTACTGGGCACAAACCTATAGCTCGCATTTCTTTACTTAAAGCATTGACCAACGTAACCTTTTTTTTCGCGGCCCTGCTGGCGTCTTCTACAGTCTGCGGCCTTCCATCGTGCAAACGTAGTTTTTGCTTTGGCTGCACTGTTTCCAGTGGTGGCGGGAATTCAGTGCCATTCATGTGGGATGGGGACTTTAAATGGGTGTAAAGAGCGCAAACGTACACTGTGGAGTGCCACCTAGCTTATAATATGTTTCGTAAAAGTCATGTGAGGCGCCGTGATGGGAATCTACTGATGAAAGTATGCAAGCAAGCGTCCCGCATATTATTATATTATCCAGAGCCTAAGCTGTGCACACTGCATGCTACTTACTTCTGTAACCCGTCCGTGCAGCCTACGCAATCTGGACAAATTTCGGATAGTAAAGCCGCAGAGTATCAGCTTGAGTTTTGAGATGGGATCCCCAACAAATTTTGGTGACGATGCATCTACCAGCATTTCATGATGTTTTAAGCTGTTCTGTCAATGTTTGTCGTATGCATGGTGCAATGATAGGCCTGATGCTGAGAACAGTTTTATGTGCTGAATGCTTAAGGCGGTGCGTTGGGGGGCAGATTCATATGATTTGGCAGTCATAAGCTGTAGCCAAGCAGGGCTTGACACTGCAGGCATGCACGAGAAAGCGCGAAACCTGCATCATAGCATTTGTTAGAGTAGTGCCTGTAAAATCTTGAACAAACTGTTTTCGTGTCCAAATGGAGAGCAGCTTCACCACAGCGTCATAGATGATTTGTAAGCTATGATGCGCCTTTCATTATTTCGCATTTGCTTTCCTGTTCAGCAGTTGATCCCTCAGCGTCACGCCTGCTAGGGCTCAGCGGTGAAGTATTTGAGTCCTGTCCATCAAACAAATACTAGCTAGTGAGTTGTTTCGTTATGATACCTTTCAGCGCTTCCAGGGGCATGTATTTTGCCAGTGCCGTGTCATATAAAGGCTTGCTTGCTGTGATATCTCTGCTTCGTTGCTTACGTGGACACTTCAGGCTTCTTGTTTAGCTTCAAATCTCATATGCGGGGCCACTACTAAATTACTGGATGTTGATAATCTATTATAAACCTGTTGACTGCATCGCTGAACTCGTCATACAGTGTATTCGACGCACCGTTTAGATTTGTGATTATCCTCAGTGGCGTCAATTTCAATGCCAGTCATACATATTAGGCGTGAAACACTTTCGAAGCATTGAAATTCTTTTTCATTGCGAAAGGCTGTGGTATGCCCGTCAAGCATGG